TCTGCAGCAGCAGCAACAACAACAGCACCAGCACAACCACCAGCAGGAGTAGCACCAGCAGCAGCAGCAGTATCAGCGGCAGCAGCAAAATCAGACTCCCCACCTGCACCAGTGTCCCCTGCTCGCAACACCAGTCCTCCTGCGTCGGTCTCACAGAATTGCCCTGCTCTCACGGCTGAAACAGAGGGCAGGCAGGGGGACACCACCAGCAGCTTCTCTGCTCCTTCCACAGCTGCAGCACCAGGCTCGGCTGCAGCACCAGGCTCGGCGGTAGCATCAGGCTCGGCTGTAGCATCAGCCTCAGGTGCAGCTGCTGCAGCTGAAGAGGGCAGGCAGGGAGGCTCCAGCAATTTCTCAGTTCCTTCCACAGAGGATCTGGTGAGCGAGAGAGAGGAAGAGTGGGAGAGGGAAAGAGGGAGTGGAAGGGAGAGATAGAGCTGCTTAAACCTTCAAAAGTCTACTGGCATTCAAGGGTTGCTCGAGTCTTACACAGAGAGAGAGACTCTGGTTCTGGGATGTGCCTGGTATGTGCTCTGGTGAGGTGCTGATCATGGTGTTGCAGTGGCAATTGCTGCTGGCCGTGGAGGCAAAACATTATTTTGGTTTTTCTCTCTTTTTATCTCTCTTCTCTCCATTTTCTCCTGCCCTCCCTTCATTCTAGTTCCCTTTTTCATCAGACACTTGCAAATCTGATGGAATGCACCTTTCTTCCTCCTCTTCCCTCTTCCTTTCTCCCCCCCCAATTCGTTTCAGACTCAACCAAATGCTCCGCTACTCGACCGCCCAGGCACCGTAGTGGATCCCTCTCCACCGCATCACCACGAGCAAAAACAGGGTATGCTTCACAAACAGCAGGAGCAGGAGCAGGAGCTGCAGGAACAGCAAGCAGGAGCAGGAGGTGACCCACAGGAGGAAGGAAAGACAGGAGTTCTGCACAAGTGGCTTTCACTTGACATCAAAGACTCTACAATAGCTACACCACCTTAGGTGATGGTCGAGTCTACTTAAAAATATTTTTTCCCTAACGTTTTTTTTTTTGGAACTAGGAGTTCCGTACTGGTGATTGCACTTGTGCAATCAACTCTAGATTGCATCTTAGGCATTGTTACAAAATGCAGTAATAACTGAAGTTTTTGGTGCCCTACAAGGGCACCATTACCCAGTCTACTTGGTAAGACTTGAGTCTACTATGGAGGTATGCTGTAGATCAGATCTGCCTAGCCCCAACTGACGCGTACGTCATCTGCATAATATCCTGCACCCTCAGAATCATCATTGGCTGCGTTGTCACACGAGCGTGACCAATCACCATGCGCCGCGAGTCTCACGGAACCGAACCTCAGCGCAATTCTTTTGGGCTGCCCACGTCAATCTGAACGCGTTTTGACGGCTTTTTGCCGAAACGCCGCCCACCGACTAACCTAGTTTCATGCTTTCGCTCCCTGAGAACGCTTCCCAAACCCTCCTTACCGATACCAACTCATTCTAATGAATCCCACCCTTACCTCTCCAACTAACCTATCCATGCACTGGCATGTCAGTGTTTTTCAACTTCTGCCCGCCGCCACATCACACAAGCCACCATGCGGAGCCTTGGGAATTCCTCCTCCATCGCATGTTTGAGGACGAATGCTCGTACTTCCTGTACGCTATTCATAGCTCGTGAATTCCCTACTGCATAGCACCCTATTTTACCTCGGAATCTCCTCCTGAATTTTAGGATTTCTGCTGCTGCGGCTTGTTACTGCTCTCTGTCTTCTGCGGGTTTAGCCTACGAGGAAGAGTGCAGTTCAAGACGCGCCTTTACACGCAAACTTGCTGAATTTGTTTACTCATAAAGGAGGCGTATGATAGTCTCACAAAGGGGGCGTTTGATAATGGAGGCCTAGGTGGTAGGGGGAGCGCGGAATTTGTCGGTTGCGCCTGAGGTATCGCCCTGTGCATCAGTTTATATCGTTCGCTCAGCTATTTCTTCACTCAGCGCTTCACTCGCTTCTAAGCGTACTCTACTCGCTCGACCTCTTCCCGAGTGAAAATTTCTAAGGCACCTCACAAGCAGTTTTCGCTGCGCTTTCCCTCGTCTCCCTTGTATACTGCTAATTCTCCCGGTTTTCAAGGCGCAGCATCAACTAATAAGCAATGGTTAGTTAGCTCGAGGAAGCTTAGGAACAAGGCGATTGCTGCTGTAGGGAGCGTTGACTCAATTGAGACAGGGTAGTGGCATATCGCTATCACTGTATCGCCGCAGCGGGACTTTTACGGGAACGAGCAGTGGCAGGAATGGATTTTTTCTGAAGAGTTTATCGGTAACTTCGTGAGTGCAGCAACCCTGGTGGGTTCGTGAACTGGATAAGCAGTTTTTTTTACAGTTTTGAGAAACGAGTTGTGAAAATACGAATTTTGGGAAACGAATTTCGGGGTACTAATTCGAGAAAGCAAATTCGAGCAGCGTGCGGGAGAGTGAGCTGAAGCGAAAGCGGGCTGCGAAAATGGAGCGAGACGGGACGACGTTGCGCGACGGTGTCGCCGCGGCACCTGCCGGCCGGTTCACGCGGCGGTGGGCGGGCGGGAGAAGCGCGGGGCCGCCGCCATTCTACACGTGCGGCCACAGGGAGCTATGGCGGCGGGAGGAGGGGCGCCGGTCGCCTTTGGCGTATATGCGCGCTGGCGCGGGGAACGAGGTGAGCGGGGGACTTGCGGTTGAAATCAGAATGTGCTTCTTCTTTTTGTCGCCCCTTTTTCCTTCCCCTTCCGCGCCCCCACGACTTCCTCCAAACGTCGTTTTTCCTCGTCTTCCATGAACGTCCTCCCCCCACGACTTCCCCCTCCCCCTATTTTTTTTTTTTTCCGCTGCGCCAACCCGTGCGCCACCGTCTCCCACGCAACCCGTCTCTCTCCTCCGTTGTCCGCTTATCTCCCCGTGCCCTCCTCGTCTCCACCTCTCTCTCCTCTCCGCCACCAAAAAAGAAGAGGTTTCCTGCTTCTCCCCGTCCCCTCCATCCCCTCCGTTTCCTCCGTTCCCCTCCGTTTCCTCCGTTCCCCCCGTTTCCCCCGCTTCCCCCCGTTCTCTCCGTTCCTCCCGTCCCCCAGCACCTGGTCTCGCGTCTGGAGCTGGCGTCGCGGCTGGAGGGGCATCACGGGTGCGTGAACACGGTGAGCTTCACGCCGTGCGGCGACCTGCTGCTGTCGGGGTCGGACGACTGGAGCATCGTGCGTGGGACTGGCCGCGCGCGCACCAACGCCTGCGCTGGCGGTCGGGGCACGAGAACAACGTGTTCCAGGCGCGCGCGCTGCCGCACACGGGGAACAAGACCGTTGTCTCCTGCGCTGCTGATGGCCAGGTGGGTGGGCGGGTGGGAGGGTGGGAGGGTGGGTAGGTGGGAGGGTGGGTCATTGATTCTGTTGGTGCGTGGTTGGATGGTGGGTGGGTGGGTGGGTGGGTGGGTGGGAGCTGTGGGAATAGAGAGCACGGGATGGGCGAGGGATGTGCGACGGGAAAAAGGGAATGTGTGGGTGCCTTTTTCTCTATCTCTTTTTCTATCTCTTTTTTCTCCCGAATTGGACGCGCTGTGCGTTGGTGCGGACACGAAGCTCCTTCTGAGGCGCCTCACAAACCGTATTCCATTATTGCCCCTCCCACCGTCCCCCTCCTCCCCTGTGCCCCTCTCCCCCCACCAGGTGCGCTGCAGCATCCTGCGAGAGGGCGGCAGTGTGGACACAAAGCGTCTGGCGCGGCACAGGGGGCGCGCGCACAAGCTAGCTGTGGATCCCACCACGCCGCACTGCTTCCTCTCCTGCGGGGAGGATGGGGTCGTGAGACACGTGCGTAAGGGGGAGGGAAATAAGGGAGGTAAGGGGTGGGGGTGGGGGTGGGGGTGGGGGATGGTAGGTCGAGACGTCTGTGGGTGCTAAGGTGCACAAGTTGGCTGTGGATCCCACCACGCCGCACTGCTTTTCTCCTGCGGGGAGGATGGAGTTTGTGAGACGTGTATGTGGAAATGGGAGGGTGGAGGGGGAACTAGAGGTTGGTGCGACCTGTGCGTGCTTCCTCTCAAGGGGGGAGAAGGTAGGGGAGGGGAGGGGAAGTGAGGGGGGAGAGGAGCAGGGGTGGGAAGGAGTGCGGCATATGCATGTTGCGAATTGTGGATGCAAGGGTAGGATGGGATGTGAGTGGTGGTGTGAGTCTGGTGATCCTTTGCTTCCACACCTTCCTCTCCAGTTTCCCCTTTCTCCCTTCTTTTGCTTCCCTGCCCAACCCCATCTCACCATTCTTTCCTTGTTTCCATCTCACCCTTCTCTCCTTGTTTCATCTCACCCTTCTCTCCTCCCTCGTCCACTCACTCACTTCCCCTTTCCCTCCCTTTCCCCGCTCTCCCCACACCCTATCCCCTCCCGCAGTTCGACCTGCGTCAGGACCCGCCCCTCCACGAAGCTCCTCACGTGTCAGCTCATGCGCTCGCAGCGCGCCCTTGGGCTCAACGCCATAGTCGTCAACCCCTGCGCCCGCACCTCTTTGCCGTGGGGGGAGCTGACGAGTTCGCGCGCCTGTACGACATCCGCAGGTGGGGAAGGGGGG